CTTTTTCGCCTTCAAAAAGTCCTTCACAATTCGTGCCTTGTGAGCTGGCGCATTGTCATGCAAAAGTCTGAAAATACTTCAAACCTGTTTGTGGGCGGCGGCGTTTATAGTGAACACTGTAAGTTTGCGAAGAACAACGTCTCTATAGTACTTGAATATTAAATACACAACCTTTATCACGCTTCGTATTCTTTTCGCAATGCTAGGGCGCTTTGCGTTTTGGGTGACGCAGATTTGATTAGAACATTTTGGTTTGGGTTCAAAAAAAAGTACACCCATATTTCGTCACCTGTGACCAAATTGCCGAAAGTCTTTTTGCTGTATTTTGGGTATTTTTTCAACAAAAGTATGGCCTTTAAACTCGGGACTTCTTTTGGTCGTCAGTTAGTAAATGTGGTATCCACCTACCATTAATCTTACGAAACCCAAGATGTTTCTCCAAAATGCAATTAACACGTGCTCAAGGCAAGTTTGTCATTCTAGCTTACTGTCTGACAGTTTACCTTGTGTCTTTCTTCAGGATTTGTCGAATTCTTTCAATGCTATTTTTTGTCATTTTTGTTGCAGTTAAACTGAAGGTAAACACAGCGCGCCTACTAACTTGCGCGCCTGTGGAGCGGGTAAACCAAGGAAATGATGATTTGATAAATGTTGAGGTTTTACAAACTACAAGTAAAACAGAACAAACGCGTTGTTCCAGAAAAAAATATAAACAACAACAACAAAAATATTTGCTTTAGATTTCTACATTGTATGTGTTTTTCTTGATTAAAGCTAAAATGCAAAACACCTGTCTTTTTCTGCTGGAACGAGGGTTTGTGGTAACCAAGAATTGCAAGTGACTCTGATTCTTTTGAAGGGCATATAGATCTACATAATTTTAGACTTTTATAAAATTATATATTTATTTCAATTGAAAAGGCTATAGCCGGTAAATCCAAAGCGTTTTACTTCCCTGTATAAAATTTGATAAAGGATAAAGCGCCCTCTTAAATTTGTTACTGATAGTTCAGGTTTTTTTTTTCATTAAGATTATAATTTTTACGCTTAAAATACTTGATTTAACTTTATTTTGTTTGTGCAATTTTTTATGTTTTCTCCATACACTCGGAAAGACATATACAATAATATTTTCTTTTGAACAGGTATTTTGGAATTATTCTTTTTAAACATCAAACACTAATTTTGTTAAATACAAGCAGCAAATAAATAGCTTTATATACTTACGGGACCTAATTTAAAATATAAGCAAGGTCAAGTTGTGATCTCTGGCACTTCTTTACTTTCTAGCTTCCACTCATAAAAAAGATCTCTGGCGTGATTCGACTTCACAACAGTGATGGGCCACCGACGTTTACTCGCATGTACTCATAGCTGTGTGAGTTTTTAATCAGATTCTTTGGAATTGATTGAAAATTGAATCATTTTACTTTTCTTAAAATCTTAGTACATTGGATTCTTCTAAGATATTTTGGCTCATCGTGAGGCATGCAGCTTTAAGGGTCAAGTTCGAACCGTCTAGCTTAATACTGACTCTTCAATAAGATAGAGAAAACAGAATCTCTTAAGATAGCCCTAAACGACAAAACTGTTGCAGCCTGTTCAGCCTGTTCATGGGCGGTACTTGAAAGTGCATGTTACCGTTCAAGCCCAAAGCACCGACTTAAGCAGAATTAATTTGGTACGTTACCAAGCCGTGCATTATCATATTCTCAACATTATTGCTTAACTATATTTGTTTTCTTTTTTCAGCTGAAGATGAAGCCAAGATGAAAGGTCATCAATTGTAAAATATTTCTTTAGCACAACAATCTAAAAAATGATGTTTGGTAGGATAGGAGTTGAATAGTCTATATCGCCGCTCTTGACCAATTTAATTTTGTAAATGCTAACTTATAAATACTAAGCTATACGTAAAAAACGAATGAAATTTGATACTTATTCGTCTTTCAAAATAAAAAGCTTTCAGACTAAGAGATTTTTGCCGGATGAGATAAGCAGTTTTATTTAAAACATGTTTGTGCGTCGTAGTTTCACTGCTCTAAATAGAGTAAACAGGTGATTGAAATATAGACCAACTTTACCTGCGGCATGTGTCACCGTATACCAATGATTATGAGATAAGGTGATTCAGCTTTGTCACCCATGTTTGTTTTCAATGAGCGGGTCCAATGTGAAAGTAGGCACAAATTCATATAGCAACAAAGCTCACAATGTAAAATGATAAACCACTGTCAGGACTATGTTTTCAGGACTATTATAAACAAAAATGAAAATGATAACTATAAGAAAATTTACCATGAATGTGCTAAATTTCTGAAGTCCAAATACAGTTTTATGCACATTTCATTGATTTTTTTATCATATCTTTATAATGTATTTCGTTTTTCATATTTGATTCATTCAAGTAATGTTCATTTCAGTTTTGATATAAGTATACTTCAGTATTTTCATTTAATCTATGAATTAGACTCTATTCATGTGATACTATTCTTCAGTAACAAACAACATTTAAAATGTATCTAAATTTCACCAAAATCACAATTTCGTTATTTTTCATATAAGACATAATTATTATGTCTTTATTCTTCAAATTTGACATACTGATTATTTATAAACATGCTTGTATTTAAAATTCCATTTTCACATCGAACACAATTATATTTATACTTTTGATCAACTAATTACTTGAATCAACAAATTGTGTGTTTTCCGCCCTAAATAGTTATAAATACATGTAATTAATAAAAATAATTATAAAAAACATACTTCTTGTACTATGCAACCAAACCGACAATAGACTACGTAATGTCATTCAAATATTGAAACAAAAGCAAACTCACATGCGCAGTGCTTGACCATAAAGTAGCCCCTATGACACTTGAACCTTTTATCTTGATTCGATTATGAATGAACATAGAAAACATTGCTGTTATATGCAATAAGAAGGTGTATACATTTTTAAAATATTAAATTGCGTTAGTTTATGATTAGTTAACCATTACAGATGTGTTGATTTTTAAATCAAATCGTATTAATTTTATTATTATTATGAGATATTATGAGATCATCATATACTGGTTGAGTACGCTACTAAATTCTGGACGAATACACAGCACCTCAATATATATAGAATCGGAATAAGCAGCTAAACTTTATATAATGTTATATGCTTACAATATTCTAATATTAACTTTGTAGCCTATCAACAACAAATATAGAAATGATTAGGTTAGACATGATAACAACTCGATATGAAAGTAGCAAATTTCCCGGGGATTTAGCTGCGTAAATGAATAAAACACTGGTAGATTATGTCATGCAAACACGTAATGCGAGGGACCATCAACAAATACCCAAAAAATGTTGTCAATTCTGTATTTGAAGTCAGAGGACTTTTGCAGATTATATTTGTTATTAACTTATAGAAAGAACATATTACGCAAAGGGAACTTCAAGGCGGAGCGTGTGAAAACTGACTTTCTTTTTAACGCGCACTACTGTTACTATTTTTGATCATGCTACTATAGGCAATTGTAGACTGAAAAAAGTTACCATGGCATTAATAAAAATACTATAAAATCTATATCAAAGTTTAGTCATCCCGAAACATGTTTTACAAGTACAATTACAAGTTACTGGTTGTAATATATCTATGATTTTCTTTAATTAGCTGATAAATACGGTTTGTATTTGTTTTGAAATTTATGAAAATGTTACGGAGGTCACACAATTGGTCATCCCGATTTTTTATTGTCTGTGTTAAAGACAAGGTTTTGCTAAACATATATTTAAAGGTGGTTAAATACTCTAGCATCTGTAATAATGTCGAACCTAAATGTTTCGATTTTAACGGAAAAGCTGGGGTCTGATTCGGATGGATCGAACTTGATACACATATTCTTACCAAGTTCTTCCGTTACAATAAATCAAGACATGTATGGTTTGTGTCACACCAGTTATGATTACGTGGCAGTTTTTCCACTCTTATATATATTTCCATGATTAAAATGATTGCATACCATAACATTAAAGCTAATTATTTGGATTATTCAGTAGCAATGTAAGTAAGGTTATTACATGAATATGCAAAACTTAGCTGTGATTCTGTAACAAGCTTAAGGATTGGGATGGAATCGAATCTAGGAGACAAGACGTGTTTCACAGCATTGTAGCAAACGTTTTAAGGGCAATAGATATGTAGCCGAAGTCACAATCGCAGCAAACATGTACATGTATATTTACCAACGAGAACACTCCAAAGTCGTACATAGGAATACTTTATAAAGCACGAACGCCCCAAAGCATTTTCGAGGTTTCAAAAACATTCCTTTAAATTTGTATTTGCTAGAAAATTATAGCCTAGTGTTTCAAATCAAAGGGCTAGGGATACTTTTGATTTCGGATAAGATAAAACTTTCTTTGAAATTGTCATTTAGGAATGTGGACGTTTTTCAGAATCCTTAATCATTCACAATAGCAACTTCAACTTCTTTAAGCTTTTACAACCTATATTTAATATTTAAAAAGAATCCCATGACTGAATGGTGTTAACTACCATTCAGCAATTTCAATGGATGAAAATGAAGATTATGTCTTGAATGCATTCGATTTTCTTTTTGTAATGTTTTGTCCTGGTATTTTAGTCAGTTGATAGTTATATTAGTAGTATGTTCATATGTGTTACATAAGTGAGCACAGCTCAAAACGTCCACAAAAACAACTGTTAATGCTCTGACAAAAAGCTGCAATTTATGAATGATAGGCGAATGTATGCAACATGCAAGAGACGCATACTTATTATTGTATCGTGATGATTCTAAATCTTCAATGAGAACAAGATGTATCTTCAACAGAAGTCTATGTACTTTGTGAACACCCAAATAAAAGTAAGCAACCACGTGATACTTGTATATAAATATAGAAATTTTCGAGTGAATTAACACACCGGCGTTTTTTTTAATAATTTGCATGCTGTAAAGAAATTTGTTGAATTAAAAATGCAGCTATTGCTTGTTTTAATGGTATGGGGCTTGTGTTTATATTCAACTCAAGCCGGTTGCAGTTATCACAACAATTGTAAGTCATGCGCGAGTGATGAGTCTTGGATTGGGTCATGCAGATGGTGTGAAGACACTCGGTCCTGTCATCAACTTGAGTCGGGATATGATCAGTGTTTTGTTTGTAGCAATAATTCCTTATCGACACTATGTAGCATAACGAAACAATCAGATTGCGGCGCAAACATTAAAGACGGGGACGAAACTAAAAACTTTGACGCAAAAGAAGCTTATGACGCATTGCTTTTATCAGCAATTGCCTATTCGGATGACCCAATATCTTGCATGGGGAAACATTTTCGGACACAAGATTTACAGCTAGTTGAAGTGATCGGGATAAGATGTAACGACATGCACTTCGACTATAAAGAATGCTTTGCTTTTATAGCTGTTTCCAAATTTAAACACACAATATACATCTCGTTCCGTGGTACAAGCAATCCTGAGAAAATGCTGAGAGACAATCTGACAAATTTTAACTCTTACCATCCAACAAAAATAGGAGGAAAAATTCACAGCTATTTTAGCACTGCAAATAGAAGATTGTACAGCTGTGTTTCTCAAGGTTTATCAGATGTTTTAAAAACCTATACTACTTACAAAATTGTTATAGTTGGACATTCAGTAGGGGGAGCTTTGGCGTCAATTACATCTGCAGAACTTCTGTATGATGGGCTTATTTACGATCATAAAACGACTTTATATACATTCGGCATGCCACGTCCAGGGGACAAGCAGTATGCTAAAAAGCATGATATTTTTGTTCCAAACAGCTACAGAGTAGTACATTACAAGGATATAATATCAAAATCACCGCCAAGAGATGTTGGTAGCTTTCACCATCAATTAGAAATCTTTTACGGTGAGGAAATGGATATCAAATCCCATTATGTCGTGTGTGAAAATTACGAAGACGAAAGATGTGTAAATGGTGAATCAAACATAGAATCTATCTTTGCTATGCTGTATCATAAGACCTACTATGAAATAACTGTTGGATCCTACTGTCAAAAAAGAGCAGGATCAAATAAAGATAAAGAAAAACAATCTGCTTTATACGACTTGTTCAATGACAAAACTTGTCGCCGAATCAAAAAACATCTTATCCCTTTGAACAAAGCATGTATTCAGGACGGTACATCAGGAGTTCTCACAACACTCATGCTAATTTGTGCTGCCTGGAAATTATAAGACTTGAAAAAAAATCTGGAAACAAAGTGATCCCTCGGAAGCATTAATCGCAACAAAATTGCATAAGAATTGCAGACTCGGTTTGATTGAGTCTGTACATGAGGGATAATGAATAAGTGCAACATCCGTCACCCCCCCCCCCTAGCACCGGCTTAAGCAGTACTCAATTCTCAACACTTAATAGTGCTGGCATCAATGAGCCCGAAAGTCCAGAAAATCCTGTTACAGAAATTGTGATATTGGTATGAGTTTATTAAAAATGACTCCAATTATCTGTTATTTATAGCCTGTTTTGTATGTTTTGTGAACTACATCACATGAAATCAGTACTTTTCGGTCATTTTTATTGCTATATAGCTTCTTACTTGCTTTACAGTTTTGCATCTTCATTTATCTTCAAAGTACATGTATTTATAGTCCCGAATAAAATATAAAATGTTTGGTTTGTACTTAGGATATATATATGTAAATGTATGTTTTCGGACAAAAAATTAAACTAATTATAACATAAGAAATATTAAGCGCCAAATAATAAACATATTTAATGTATCTTTGTCTTGTAAACAATAATATTATTTTGTATTAAAATGTTTAGATTTGTGTTTGTGATTCTGCTTTGAACATGAAGTTAGCTACAATAACACATGAAATCAGTTCTTACTTTACAGTCATTTTTTATTGCTATATAGTTTCTTATTTGCTTAACAGTTTTGCATTTATAGTTTTTCAAAAATATTTCTAGTCCCGAAAAAAATATAAAATGTTTGATTTGTATGTAGGATGTATATATGTAAATGTATGTTTTCGAAAAATAAAAAAAATGAATTAAACTTATTATAACATAAGAAAGATTAAGCGCCACAAAATTAACATATTTATTGTATGATTGTCTTGTAAACAATAATATTATTTTGTATTAAAATGTTTAGATTTGTGTTTGTGATTCTGCTTTGAATATTATATAAGCTACAATAACACATGAAATCAGTACTTTACAGTCATTTTATTGCTATATAGTTTCTTACTTGCTTTACAGTTTTGCATCTTCATTTTTTGTTTTCAAAGCATTTATAGTCCCGAATAAAATATAAAATGTTTGTTTTGTATTCAGGATGTATATATGTAAATGTATTTATTTGGAAAATAATAAAAAAACAATTAAACTAATTATAACATAAGAAAGTTTAAGCGTCACATAATTAACATATTTATTGTATGATTGTCATGTAAATAATTTATTTGTATAAAGATGTTTAGATTTGTGTTTGTGATTCTGCTTTTAACATCATGTAAGCTACAACATCACATGAAATCAGTACTTTACAGTCATTTTATTGCTATATAGTTACTTACTTGCTTTACAGTTTTGCATCTTCATTTCCTTTTCAAAGTATTTATAGTCCTGAATAAAATATAAAATGTTTGATTTGTATGTAGGATTTATATATTTAAATGTATGTATTGGGGAAAAAAAACAATTTAACTGATTATAACATAAGAAAGTTTAAGCGTCACATAATTAACAAATTTATTGTATGATTGTCATGTACATAATTATTTTGTATAAAAATGTTTAGATTTGTGTTTGTGATTCTGCTTTGAACATTATGTAAGCTACAACATCACATGAAATCAGTACTTATTGCTATATAGCTTCTTACTTGCTTTACAGTTTTGCATCTTCATTTTTTTTTTCAAAATATTAATAGTAGGATTTATATATGTAAATGTATGTATTCGGAAAAAAATAACAATTTAACTAATTATAACATAAGAAAGATTAAGCGCCACAAAATTAACATATTTATTGTATGATTGTCTTGTAAACAATAATATTATTTTGTATTAAAATGTTTAGATTTGTGTTTGTGATTCTGCTTTGAATATTATATAAGCTACAATAACACATGAAATCAGTACTTTACAGTCTTTTTTATTGCTATATAGTTTCTTTTTTTGATTAACAGTTTTGCATCTTTAGTTTTTCAAAAATATTTATAATTCCGAATTAAATATAAAATGTTTGATTTGTATTTAGGATGTATAAATGTAAATGTATATAATCGGAAAATAAAAAAATAAAAAGAAAAAGTAAACCTCTTGTCGTGTCACAGACAAAGTTCAAAGAGTAAAAAAGAACAAAAGACAATAACTCAAAAAATAAGCAAGGCAGAAGTAAGGTTCTTTTGCACTGCACTTCTATTTAATAAGATCAATCTACCTACAAAGTTTCATGTTGATACCTCTTGTGGTTTCAGAGTTATGTCTCGGACAAAGTTCAAAGTGTAAAAATATCTTCAAAATAAGGCCAGGCAAAGTAATCGTTTTTTTTTCAATGCACTTACTAAGATCTATCTACCTACAAAGTTTTATGTTGATATCTCTTATAGTTTTAGAGTTATGTCCCGGACAAATTTTAATGTGTTAAAATGAACAAAGGGCAATAACTCCAAAATAAGGCAAGACAGAGTAATGGTTCATTTGCATTGCACCTTTACTCAATGAGATCTATCTACCTGCAAAGTTTTACGTTGATATCTCTTATAGCTTAGAGTAATGTCAAGGACAAAGTTCGGAGTGTAACAATGAACAAAGGGCAATAACTCCAACATAAGGCAAGACAGAGTTATGGTTCTTTTGCACTGCACTTCTACTCAATGGCACTTCTACTCAATGAGATATATCTTCCAACAAAGTTTTATGTTGATAACTTTTGTTGTTTTAAAGTTATGTCTTGGACTAGAATAACGGACGGATGTACGTTATAACGGGATAGTAATAATGTGGCTACTCTATTGTTCTATCTTTTGACCTTTTTAGCTACACAAAAGAAAATAGCCTAATAAAAGCATCACGGAATGAATAAGAACAGTTACTTATTGTCCCTCTAGCCACTTTATTACTGTCCCGTCATAGCGGACGGGCGGAAAAAGCGGCGACTCTTCGCTCACCCTTCGGGGAGCATTAAAATTAAACTAATTATAGCATAAGAAAGTTAAACCGCCACATAATTAAAATATCTATTGTATGATTGTCATGTAAACAATTATTTTGTATAAAAATGTAAATGATTCTGCTTTGAACGTTATGTTACAGTGACATTATCCTCATCCAAGGACATATATTGAGTGAACAGGTAAACATCAATGTAATCAGTAACTCACGTGACCCCATCGAAATTTATATAGATATCCATACTTGTAACGTTTTAATTTAGCTCAATAGGTAGAGCATTAGATTTTGAATCGGGCGACCAAGGTTCTATTCCCGGACGGCGCAGGTCACTTTTGTTGTGATTAATCATGAAATCCTTTCTACGGTCATTGCACTGTACTTCTGCTGGCAACTAGTACTGGTAAACTTCTTGACAGCCTGTCTAGGAACCATGCGGTGGCTGAACTCTACAGTGGTAAATTCAATGTGGCCAAATGATCCGGAGTTAAAACTACAAACACCACCATCATCTTTGGTAGCAAAAATAAAAAAGCCACGCTACCGACCCTTCTCTCATCTACATTTAATATGAATTCTTTCATTAAAAGTTAATGTAAATCACTTCTCTATCTCTTCAATTGTTATTCATTAAAAGTTCTTTTAATTAAATTGGGTGATTGCTATAAAAAGTAAGAATTGATTGTTAGTTTGGTAATTCTTAGTTTGATAATTCAAAATTAAACTTTGTTTATTTAAATAAAGAATATTATCGAGGGATCATTTTGTTTCCAGATTTTTATACTTCACAACAGCAGGTGTCAAGTGCTGTGTGGCAGCTGTAAAATGTGCCCCGTACTTCACTTCAGTGTTGTTATATTTTTCTGGTCTTTAGGGATCATTGATGCCAGCACTATTAAGTATTGAGAATTGAGTACCACTCAAGCCGGTGCTAGGGGACGTGAGGGATGTTGCACTTATTCAGATTCCCCATATGTACAGACTCAAACCGAGGCTGCAATTCTCTTGTAATTTTGTTGTGATTAAAGCTTCCGAGGGATCACTTTCTTTCCAGATTTTTATATGAATCTGTTATTAAACAAAGTGGAATAGGAAACTTGGGTTTTTTGTTATTTCCTATAGTAAAGGTTTAGTATTAGGGAGACGAAAGGGGTCAAAGCTTCAGGCTCTACATAAATACGTGCAAAAAAGGGAGAGGAACTTGCGGATACATGTTAATACAACCTTGACGAATGTCTTTGAAAATTAAAGCTAGAGAGGAAGCGTTATGATACTGTTTGTTCAAGGGCTGTCTGTGAGATCTCGCGAGGTTTTTTAGGTGCAGTGCACAAGTCGTATTTACAGCTGTATAATTATGAAAGTCTTGTATTTTCTGCATGACCGCGCTCCTACACACAAAGGAGCTACTTGATTTATTTTTTCATTTTTTTTATTTCATTTTTCCCGAGCAAAATGAGTGATTGCCCTGAAACAACCACCGTGTTCTCTAGATTTGACACCCTACACTATTTTCATCTTTTCAAGTAGAAATGGTTGCCCATTTTCCGTTATTGAAAGGTTTACCAAAGGAGGGTAAAGAAAATGACCGTCTCGATTAATTTCCTATGACTGACCCTTGTTGTCGCCCCATGCGCTAAGATCAGCTGATAAAGTCCTCGTTCACGTTAAATAACTAATACATATGCACGTCGTTTTTCTTTCGCATTTTGAATGACACTACTTATATATAATTGACTTATGTAATATAGAGATTGTCCAAATTTCGTAAAATACACATGTAAAGATTGCACTTTTTCATGTGATTTAAAGCGATGCATGTTGTACAGCACACTTCATCATGATCTTTACAATACATGTCAACTAAGTTGTTAGTGTGAATAGCACATCTATGTATCGGAATCGTCGACAATGTGATTGATAAACCTTGTACTTAGCATCCAACGGATCAAGTAGCGTATGACCTTTTAAAGGAGGAAATCGCGAGTGTGTACCAACGCAAGTTCGACAACAGAAACCTTGACATTCAAAACAATATTTCACAGCCGCTT